TTTTTCAGAACTACTCTTTCAATTTTTTGGCGTATCCTTGTTCTTCAGGAATGTCGCGGACGCAATTTGTTTTTTTCCACGAAACATCGCGGACAGCATCAGAGATTGCGATATCATATTCATCTCGGTGAATACGTCCCACCAAACAATTCGGTATAGGCAAAGGCATGGCTGCAGACCTTAGTGCATGGTACGTCATACACGCACGTCCTTCAGAGATGTCTCAATTCACTTACTATATCAGATTTCCACCCATATTCTCATCCATCATCTCTCACCTATCCATTCAACTATTTCCTTCCATTTTATTCAACTATTTCCTTCTTCTTCTCTTCATTGCACTTCCACTTCTATCTATAGTCCTCTTCATTATTATTTTACAGGGAGATGGCTTCCCCGTAGTATTGCTGCTCATGCAGCATCGTCCAAAATCGTCATCGAAAAATCAACCGTTCCTGTGAGGACAGCTGAAGGTTTGCATCGAGTTCTAAAAGCGAACCCTTTGAATTCCAAAGTGAAATTTGCTATTTTGTCAAATCCTGAATTTTTGGCTGAAGGTGATTCAAACATAAATTTGTTTTTTTATATCTTCTTATTTTTAGGAACGGCGATTCGTGATTTGGAACGACCTGATCGTGTTTTAATCGGAGGACAAGAGAAAACTCCATTGGGGACAGTTCGCAATTTCCGTTCTTGCTGATATTTATGGTCGTTGGGTACCACATGAGAGAATATTAACAACAAATGTTTGGTCGTCCGAACTATCAAAATTGGGTCAGTTGGAAAAAAAAGTAGAAATTGTCACTTGTTCACCTTAATTTTTTTTTTCTTTGGTTCACAAGTTCACAAAAATCTGGTTCTCTCTCAGTTGCGAACTCCTTCTTAGCTCAACGTGTTTCCTCGGTCAACGCAGTTTCGATGTTGTGCGAGCGAACTGGGGCTGATGTTCGTCAAGTTGCAAAAGCTGTTGGTGCAGATTCGAGAATCGGACGAAAATTTCTGGACGCTTCTGTTGGATTTGGCGGAAGTTGTTTGCAAAAGGATGTTCTGAGTTTGGCATATCTTTGTGATTTCTATGGACTCAAAGAAGTGAGAATGATCATATATATATAGATGTATATATAGATATATATATAGATATATATATAGATGTATATAGATATATATATATGTATAGATAGATTTTTATATTAGAAATGATATACAGATAGATAGATTTTTATATTAGAGATGATATACAGATACTTGTATCAGTGATGATATACACACACATATATATATGCATTTATGTATCTCTCCACTGCTACGATTTATAATTGTTTCATTTTCATACGTAGATTTTGATTTGGGTTTATTATTTCAGGCTTCAGAGTATTGGCTCATGGTCAAAAACATGAATGACCTTCAGAAATGTCGATTCGCCCAACGTGTTATTCATGAATTGTTCAATACTGTGAACAAAAAGAAAATCGCAATTTTTGGATTCGCTTTTAAGAAGAACACCGCGGACATCCGCGAGACAGCAGCATTGTGAGATGGATGACTCGTTTATAACTCAATGATCTGTTCTACTTCTTAGGGATGTTTGCTCTGCATTGATGAACGACGGAGCTTACCTTTATGTATATGATCCACAAGTAGATGAGACCTCAGCTAGACAAGAATTAGTCGATCGCCAATCGCGTCTTAATGAGAATTTTGATTTGAGCAAGCAATTCTTCTTCGAGGTTCGTAGAGTTGATCATTTTCCCCTCATTCCATGTCCCAATTCCCATGCTCATCCATGTCCCAATTCCCATGCTCATCCATGTCCCAATTCCAGACCTCTCCAGCTGCAGCAGTTAAGGATGCTCATGCTATTGTGGTTCTAACGGAGTGGGGACGAATTCCAATTTTGCGATTACAACGCTTTTTTTTGATTGTATGGTGAAGCCTGCATTTATATTTGATGGGAGAAAACATCTTGAATCACAGAAGGCTTGCGGAAATTGGTTTTGAAGTGCATGGCGTCGGAGTCCAACGCGACACTCAGAAGTCTTCGGGAGGATCACCGATGAGTTTTTTTTATGCGATTTTGATTTATTGTTTGATTCTATTTTTTTTACTTGTCTTTGTAGACAGTTAGAAACTTGATTTTATGGATGTCCCATAAAATATTTTTATCAGATGATGGACAGAGATCATCCACTGATTTACCTTGTTTGTGTTCTAGCGTTCGTGGATCCTTTGTTTATAGCGAAGATATTAATTGCACAGAAATCGGATCTGACTGCACGTTATGTCTCGCTCATGTCAACATCTGCAAATTTTGTGTCCAGGAGGCTGATGGGGGAATGACAAACAGCACAATCCAGTTCAGGGTGAGCTATCTCTTCTCTTTCTCTCTCAACATCCTTTTATTTATCGGATATAGTATATACTGTATACTCATATATTAAATTTTATTCATTTTCATTGAAGGATTGTGCGGTGTGAGTAAAGAGACGTGCAAGGAAAGCACCAAGTTGGAACTTCACAACAACACCCAAGGGCAGTGCGGAGAAGAAGGAGGGTTCACTTCATGTCCCAAATGCATCAAGCTGGATGGATACGGTTATTGTAGTTTGAGTAGGAGTGTTGCAATAATAGAAAATATCATTCACATCAACTCATCATAAAACTGCTCACATCAACTCATCATAAAACTGCTCACATCAACTCATCATTAAAAACTGTCCATTCATCATCATCATCATAAATCTGTCCTTCTTTCATTCAGGAGAAGCTACAGGAGTAGTTGTCGAATTTTGTGGACTCAGACACCAGATCTCTCGAGATTGTGTAACGATCTCATTTAGCGATGGTTCACGGGTTGATGCGGTTTCAACTTTTGACAATTGTTCAGAAATTCCGATCTATCCGAAAAGCGGAGCGACAGACGTTCGGAGTGGAACACCTTTCTCCCTCTCACTCATCTTCTTAGTCTTCTTCTAGATTTTCAGGAAACTAGAATTTCAGTTTCTGACTTATTTCTTCAATTCTTCTTTAATTCTTATTTCTCAATTCTTATTCATCACCCTAAAATTTGATGCGTTCTTGCATTCATCTAAAATTTGATGCGTTCTTGCGTGGCCTAGAATTCATTACAACGAATCGTAGAAAAAGAAGAATAACATTACAACGTCGAAAAAAGATGAGCGGGATATAGTCAATCAAGTTGGGGAGCCTTCGATTTGCCAAAGATGATGATACTTAGTCAAGTTTTCGATAGAGGAGGGCTTTTGCCTTTGAAAACGGTGAACTATCAAGCTTCTTCTTCTGACTGCCTCTCATCATTTTCATGAACTCTTCGAAATCTATACTGCCATCATTGTTTGTGTCAACCTAAACAAGTCGTCATTCTCTTAAATATCTTTTTCGAGTGATCGTTTACCTCCTTAACCATTTCCTCGATCATTTCGCGAGTAAAGGCTTCTTGAACAAAATTCATTTCCAATACTTTTCGCATTTCATCGCTGAAACAAAATAACAAACAAATTCAAAACAAGAGCAAAATCACGTCCAAGCAACAAATAGGGAGTATTCCCCAGATTCATTCGAGCTGATCTCTATGGACTACAAATACTCCCAAGATACTCACATGGTTATCTTTCCGTCGCCGTCCAAATCAAACACTCTGAATGCAGCCTTACAGACAGCTTCTTGTTCGTATAATTTATGATCGATAGAGGCGGCAATGAATTCCGTATAATCTACAAAAATAGAATATGCAAAAATAGAATATCCGCTGCTAAATCAACTTGAAGCGATTGTGAACACACCAATAGTCCCGTTGCCGTCGGTGTCCAATTCCTCCAGTATTTCTACAATTTCGTCTCCGTATTTCACGTTCATATTCGCCAGGCCAGCGCTAACTTCCTGAAGCACAATCACAAAATTCAGAAGCTTCTATGGATGTTCATTTAAAAACGTACTGAGATGGTTAAGACGCCATCAGCGTTTTTGTCAAGCGCTGAGAAGATCTCATGAAGCTTTCCGATATCTTTCTCCGTCATCTAAAAAAAAATGTAATGGTCATTCAAATGATGTGATCGTCATTCAAATCCTTGGTGTTTAATTTTGCCCCCCATTTCCCTCCAAGGAGTCAACTGCAATTGGGACATACCTGGTAGGCCACGACTGTTAAAGCGAGTTTTTTCAATTTAATGTGGCGCTGGAAATTCCTAAACTTCTCTAATAAATCCCCCCCAAGCTCTGAAGGACAATTCAGCACGACATTAACAGACATTATAGGCCATGAGGCTCACTATTGGTTAATGGTGACTCTTGCGTTAGCGCTGCTTGGTTGTAATACTGAACCCAAGGATGCTGTAGAGCTTCAGAAGCAGTGAGGCGCTTGCGGGTTCAAATGTCAAAAGTCCACGAATAAGATTTTTGGCGTGATCTGAAACTTTCTGGAACAACATTTAATAAGAATGGGATGAAGGACTTACTCCCCAGTATTTGGCCTCAAACGCGTATTCACCAATTTTAACTTTTCGCAATATTTCCTTATTGTCTTTCCCATCTACAACAACAAAACATCCAGACTTTTAGTCTTGGATCCCTCAAGTGGATCCCTCAAGTGAATCCCTCAGAAGTCACATCGGTGGATAATACGTTTCCATAGCTACAGACTTACGAAACGGAGGAAATCCGCTGAGTAATATAAAAAGAATGACGCCAGCACTCCAAAGGTCGCACTGCTTGTCATAATTTCCAAACAACACTTCGGGAGCGACGTAGTACGGCGTCCCAACGACGGAGGAAAATTTATGATTTTTGGTGCATTTAGCAGCAAACCCCCAATCTACAAGGAAATGGATTTGCAAAAGAAGATCATGCAGAAAGAGGGAGACGGGCGACTTGAAATCGGTGGTGACACTTACCAATAACCTTAAGGGCGCTGAGAGGTGAGGAGTCGCTGTATAGAACATTTTCAGGTTTGAGATCTCGATGCATTACATCATTTGCATGGCAATAAGCAACGGCTGAGAGGATTTGCTTCATAATTGAAGCAGCATAGCGTTCACTGAAATGTCCACTCTTAATAATACGATCAAAGAGTTCTCCTCCTGTACATAATTCCATCACCAAGTATAAATCTTTTTCATCTTCGAAGACTTCAAACAAACGGATGATGTTGGGATGATCCAAGCGTTTCCTACAAGTGAATCAGATGACAGTATAGATATCGGATAATATCGAATGATGAATAGATAATATCGAATGATGAATAGATAATATCGAATGATGAATAGATAATATCGAATGATGATTGGATAATATCGAATGATAATTAGATAATATCAAATGAACGTGTTCATCAATCATTTCGGTGATTTGCTTACATGATAAGAATCTCTCTCTTTAGACGAGTTATATTTTCTATTTTCGGTTTATATACAATTTTAACTGCGCGAGTTGTTCCTGTGCGGAGATCTCGTGCGGCGACAACTGAACCATACGATCCCTTTCCAAGACTCTTAATATTGATATCATAATAGTCCTTCAACGAGGAGGATCCTGAAGCAATCAAGAAAACACTTTAAAAAAACACACTTTTTGAGTGAGTGTTCGTTCTAGTGACGAACCCATTAAAATTTCCTGCTTGATGATTGATGAGCGATGAAAAATTGGTTTCATCGAAGCGCTTGGAGATCCAGGAATGTTGACTGAAGATCGCCGTCTTCTTTCTGGGGAAGCCAAGCCCTCCATAAGCATCGCCTTGCTGATGGTTTCTGTCAAAAACGATGATGAATCAAGAAATAGACGAAGACGTACCTGTGGAGAGCTGGGTAGACGCCTCAGTGAAGGACTTTGAGGTGATAATGTATTTCCCAGATGACGAGCTCATTTCTGGCTTTGACGATGAAGGGGGGGCGAGAGGCGACAAATCCTTGGGGCCCTTAAGAAGACAAATAGAGTGAGAGTCCTTCTCTGCTACCCAGTTACCACAGGGACTAGGATCTACACACCTTTCCGCCAGGTTTTGCACACTTCGTGCAAAGATTTGCCAGTTCAGGTTTCGTTGTATCTGGAGCTTCTATATTGGACGAGATGAGCATTCAGATTTGGATGTCCTTGATCGCGTTCATTAGCGGCGACGGCAGCTCCTGAAGTTGTCATACATGAAGAAGATAGTCACACAGATCATACATTAATTTGCATGGAGAAAAATCTGGGCCGCCATGCCAATGTCCCAATAGTCAGAACATTCAAGCGATCAACAGATTAATAGGATGTTATTCATTTATGTCCCAATAACCCCACTGACTAATTTGAGTCCCAATGACCCAAAACTCACTAATTTGTTCCCTGTGATACGTGGATCCGCCATGAACAGTATGACGATGCCCTGGCGAGGCGGGCGACGTTCCGGTTCCGGCCTGGAGAGAAGCTTGAGAAGCGCCTCCCGTGTCACAACTCACCTTCATAATTTGAAAGATTTTTGGGAATGACAAATAGAGAAAATATCCCACTTAAACAAAAGTGACTGAATTGGGAGGAGACAAAAAATGATGAAGATTAACGGCACAAAAAATGGCGAGGTTGCCTTTTCAAGCTGAATTGTTGAATCATTGGAGGATGAGACTGCGGCACATACGAAACTTCCTTGGTATGGTCAAAGGATTGGTTTGGATTCAGTGATAGTTAGTCCTGATGGACTCCGCTGTGTTCTTGATATCAGCGACGAGGATCATGCGGTTAAGAGGTCAGATGGCTTTTCTGGTCCGCCATTCTGATTTGGCAAGCTCTCCGGTATCAACTGGTTGCATGCACCACTTGCTGCTTCTTATCAATGAACTATGCCTTCCATATCTGAAACTGTGAATCCCTTATTCGGATGAACCTTCTTCTTATTGTAAGTTTTGTGTGGGGTTGTTTGTATTCAAAATAGAAGATTCATTTTTGAGTTCGCTTTGAAGGTTTTGTTTTCTTCTCTTCTTCTGTGTTCGTCTCATTTTTGAACTCTGAGCTCTTCAGCGTTGTATTAAAAAATTGCTGTAGAGCTACAATTTTATGAACAGCTTCAGCATAAGCGACGATCTGCACACAAATGTCAATATTTGGGACACCAATGGCACAACGCACTTGTTTTTGTTTGTCATCCAAAGTCTTTCGTCGACTTTCGTCTTTCTCCCATTCGTTGTAGCGGTTCTTAATGTGGTTCCACAGAACATGCGTTGGGGCGTCTCTGTTGTCCCAAAACAGATCACGACAAAAAAGATAAGCGAACGTAGCGACTTTATGCGGAATTTCGGATGGAGGCGCGCTGCATCAATAAGACGAGGTTGAGATGACGTGGTGCTTTGCATATGGAGCGTTTTTGGGCGTCTTACCTTCCAACAGCTACAGAGACTACTTGTTCGAAGAGTTCATTAGCTTCATCAGACAATGGCGCAGGGCTTTCAAATACTGATGCGAGTTGCTCAACAGTGTCGGTTGTTGTTGGAACTAGTGCATTCCGCGGGGAAGAAGTCGCGGTAAGATCCATTTCGACGAACTGAAGATTTTCCTGGCAATATCACAAGTTGACATTTAAAAAATGAAAAACAAGTTGTCTATTAAAGGTCTCTAATTCATGTCTTACTTCAGTCAGCTGAAATATTGGAGCATCAATTAATTGAGTCAGGAGGTTGATAGCTAAGGAATAGTGTTTGGGTAAAAGAGGAGTTTTGATTTCTCCTTGTACGGAAGACGCCAAAGAAGGGAGCGAAAATCCCTAAAAAACAAAATCCAAAACGGTCAAGCAAGGAGTCTCCGTTGTGTGTCACCCCGTCCATAAATGCCAGAGTGTATAAATGAAGTCCCAAATTACCTGCTCCCATAGATTTGTGTTGTTTGTATGAAGATCGTTGATGGCTTTTGGGAAATCAGGAGACGGATTTAGCGCAAGTGTCCGGATGCGTGCTGCGAGTTCAACGACAGTCGCGATTCGGTCAGAAACGAGAAATATTAAGAAATCTACGCAAGAGGGAGGAATGTGTGGACGGTCCTTCTTCGTCATGGGAAAGGCGGACACGAGAGCGGCTGTTAGATTGAGCCATTCAGAAAAGAGAGGACGACAACTGCGGAAAGATTTTTCGCGCGACTTGGAAAAATCTTGATATTCTGATTGAGAAAAAGTTTGGGTTCGTAGATCGCGTGCCTTTAATCGTTCAAGAAATCGATCGGGCGGCAGAAGATGTTTCGCCATGGGATTATTCGAAGTCGACGGAACAGAAATGTCCGCATCAGATGAAGACGATGGACATTGATCACGGGAAGCGATTGAGGCTGCAAATTGGCGACGAGCACTTTTTGAAAATTCGAATCGCGACTAAATTTTTCAAATTCTATCGGAAAAGTTGAATTCAGATAATTTTCGAAACGCGTTGCAAGATGTTTACGATGCGACCAGAAAAGATTAACTGCAGCACGATCTACTAAATTTGATTGAGAATCGTCGGATGTTCGAGTGGATGACGCGATGACAGAATGAACAAGACCAGCGATCCAGAAATTGAGATAACGATGTAAGATGCGTTCTGAATCTGACAGAGCATCACATGCATCACCAGCAACGAACATCATTGCTCTTAATCGGTCGAATGGGTGGAATGAAAGAATACGAAGAGGAATTGAGGGAGACAGAATGGATGATTCCGATGATGGAGATGGGATAGAATCGGGACATCGGGGAGACGGGAGTGGATTGGGACATGGGGGGGAAGGAGGAGAGTCATCAGCTGCTTTTCGCCTTCTTTTTCGACGGGGTTCTTCGATGACTTCAGTTTCCGTGTTGGATTTCATGGTTGCATTGATGTTCATCAATTGAGGTTCCTGAGAATCTGAAGTGGTCTGCCTTGATTGTCTTTTTTTGTTTGATGAGTCGGAGCAGGTCTTGCTTTAATTTTGGTGGAAGCTTGCTGATGATGTTTGGCCATTGTGAGTGAGGGACTCTCGTCAGATCTAGATACACTTGCTCTGCAGTCTGACCCATCAAGCTATTTATAATTGTGAATAAAAGTCTATAATGGCTTCAGCCACTTGGTGAGGGGGGGGAAGCGCTCCTAAACCTGTAAGCAGGCAAAGGTCCGGTTGCTGTTAGATTACAGGATCAATCAACACCTGTGTCCCCACACGCCAGTTGTTTTTCAATTGGATCGAATATCTGAATAGAAAATAACGAAAAGGGTTTAAGACGATCAAGCGAGAGAAAGGGATTCTTCATTTGTAGTTCACCTTCATATTGAATTCGTTTTAAGATATTGAGATGTTTGCGAGTTAATGGATGTTCCCACATCAAAGTGTTCATTGCTGGAAACATCTGAAATTGTATTTGGGACATGTTGGAGTAGTCAAGATGTTAGATCATTATGTAATCAAGAGATGTCCCAAACATGTTGATTCTCTTACGATGATTGATTGTGCTCCTTTAACGTCCCACGCTCGAACTATACATGTCTATCAGAGAAATATCACAAATGATATCTCATACATCGCGTCTTACTAAAAGATTGTCACAGAGACCATTGACGATCTTAGCGAGAGTGTTTGCATCAAGAGGTGCGATCGCGAACATTGTCGCCCAACGGCGAAGCTACAGAGATGACGAACTTCATTTGTGATAATGATGATGAGGATGATGATTACCTCTATATGGAGGACGGGGTCACCTTTGACTTTCCAGTCCTTCCATTCCTGATCGTCTGTATAAATGTCAGCATCAATATTTCCTGGAAGGAACGCAAGAGCATTTTTCGTTGCAACAACGCGAATCTGAAAATGAAGATGTTTGTCATCAAAAGTTCAAAATATCACCTCGAGTTTAATTTGGCGTTCAGAAGCTTCTCGTTTTAAACAATTTATAATTTCTGGAATTTTGATTGTCGCCACACTCCCAGTGACACCAAGAAGGAGATTAAGTGTGGGCGGGTCAGACATATGGGAACAGATAATGACTGAATTTAATAACTGAATTAATCAGCCAGCAGGCAACCAGCTCTCTGCGATTCTGAGGGATTATTTTGGTGTCAAGTAGATCAAAATTCGTCGCGCTAAAAAAACTGCAAGAAGTGTGTTGCTTCTTGCTTTTTTCTATATTCGAATCGACAAAAGACATTTATCTCGATGCCGTAATTATTCGAGTCGACAAAAGACTTTTATCTCGATGTCGTAAACAAATCAAAGATAATAATCAAAAACGAGGCTTATGGTTGCAATATCTGAAATAACAAGACTTAAGAAGAGATAGACAATAATCAGAACTGACCCTCCCGGATTCTTGTCCAAGTAATTCTGATGATTTGGTTCAGCTTCGTAGAATTCGGATGGCTTGGCCTGAAAGAGAGAAGAGGTGCTTAACATCAACAGAACATTGCTACACATCGCTTATCAACAGAATATATTGTTATCAACAGAATATATTTGTGAATTTCAGACCATCTCGATTTGCGTGACGATATTCCCGTTCCAGTGTTTCTCATTCATTTCATCAAGAACAGATCGAGCTTCTTTTTCTTGAGTTTCGTCGTGAACAAAAATGGCAGATCGATATTGAGTCCCAACGTCGTTGCCTTGTTTGTTTTTAGACGTCGGATCCTGAAATGGAATCAATCACATCAACCTGGAAGTCCAACATCACATCACTATAACAGCTTGACTGGTCTCAGACTGTAGGCACTTACATGGATCCGGAAGAAGTATGAACAAAGTTGACGGTAAGTTACAGCATTCTATACGGAAATCATGAAACTGAGAGCGTCACACGAAACGCTTACCGGATCGAACTCCACTTGGAGAGCTTCCGCATGTCCAGTATTGCCTTTGCACACTTCTTCATATGTCGGATTTTTCAATGAACCTTTTCAGGAGAAGGAAGTTCACTCCAAGCAATCCGGTGATTCCATCTATGCGTCACTTACCACCGACGTAACCGACGGATGATTTCACGATTGCGTCACCAAACTGATGAAAATGGACCAATTGAATCTCCAGCGAGATCAGAACTACACTGACCTCCTTTTTGAACCATTTCTGCATCCCCCCAAAAGCAACCCCCTCCGAAAGTAGCAACGCGGCTCATCGACAGGACCTGAACAGAATGAACTGAACCGGTACATGTACCAATAGTTTAGTGTTCCATTCACCTAAAACGCTCCTCAATTTTATAGTGGTGTGAGTGATTTTAGGTTTATAAACTGATCCATTTATTATTTAATCAATTATCGCATTCAGCATTTTTTTTGTTCTTCTGTCCGCTTCAACTTCTTCTTCGATTTTTTGAATGTCTGCGAGCGTCAACCTTTTAGACTCTGACTTGGCGGCCTTTCGCACACAGATCTGTCAACGCCATCAAAACGGTGTTTGTCTTCACTCTGACCGATGTTTCTGGAGTCATTGCCAAACATGGCAACGGCGAGATCCAACGGTGTTCCCATACTCGTAAGCGCCTCTACTAAGCGCCTCCACTCCTCATCGCTATTATTGCGCAGGTCGAAATTGTGCCCTGAAATTGAATTTGTCAAGAATGGAATGAAGATGACTTTGAAGCGACGATGCACGCGGGGAAAGGCTGTACGATTTTTTATTCATTTCATATAGTCAAAAACGTGTCTTCCTTGTAGTGCGGATATTCCCATTCTAAAGAAGAGGAATTGTATCATCCAGAACTATATAAAACGGTAGGTGACTCAGTGAGATGATCTCGTTGTATTTTCTTTGATAGAAAATGTGCAACTCATTTCCCAACTGTTCCCGCTATTATTGTCCTTTTGCTCATTCCAAAAACGAGTTACGCGTGGTCAATTCATCAGATTTTTCTCCCCTCTCATCTGGAAGCTCGTGTTCAACTGTCTCATCGCCTAGCATCGGACCGCACTGTGTTTCCCCAAAGCTTTCGTATAGGGATCTGGATGACTACGATAGAGGCCATAGCTTTCAGCCAGCAACGCCAAGTTATCCTAATCCTTACAATTCTTATTTTTCGTCTCAACAGGAACGCCTCGATCAAGATATGACAACTTTGTTGCTAAAAGAAGTTAAAAAAGCCGCCGCAATTTCGTCGATTCAGAGGGAGCTGAACCCTCCTCCTGGCCTTATCAGACAATCGCGGTGCTCCCCAACAGAAAATAACTTGTCCGCCTTGCTCCAAATTTTTTTCAGATACCAATTCAATCCAAAATCTTCTGGATCAGTATTTGACTCTCGACGCGATTCGTCATTAGGACGGCGCTTCTTTTCTAGTGTTTTTGTAATGCTTTTATTGTAGGCCTATTTTTATTTGAGCTAACGTGAACAGTTGTACAGTGCAGTAACATCATGGGGGAGTGTCATTAAACCAATTAGCAACATTTAACGATTTGTTTGCACCCAGCCATCAACATCAAACTTGCATTGAGCGAAGAATAGTCCATGAAATGTTTTCTGAACACGCGCGCCTCCTTGCCTAATCTGCTTGCATTATAAACCGTCCGCTTTGAAGTGTTTGTTAAGTACCAAGTGAAAAAGAAACAGGACTTGAGCGAATCACACATCCGCGCAGTTCACACTCTTCGTTTTTGTCGAACAGCAATTGAGCAATTCAGTACTCTGGTTTTCATTTCCACACAAGACAGTTTCATTTGTCAAAGATTTTTAAATTCATGCAGCGTGTTCAATACTCAACGAAAGATCTCTCAGAAGCGTCAAATTCGGCATTTCCGAATCGTATGATGAATCGAGGATATCGATCTTCCACTCTCACTGAAACAAAAACTTCTGAAGGGTCTCGTTCAGCCTCTCAGAGTCTTCATCAGTCTCAGAGTCAGTCAGTGAGAAGCCAACACACCGCAGCTTCACAGCACAGATCAGGGACGACAAGAAGCTCCAACGAAGAGCCAGCCACGAATTTCATCTGCAGTGATGCAGCCGAGTCGCCGAGTATCAAGTGTGTCACGGATTTCTCAAGATTTTCATTTGGTTTCAAACAGCAGCGAAGAAGCTGGGAACTCGGAGAGCGGAACACCAAGAATTCCGCTATCCTTCGGTTCTCGTCATCCAAGTAATGAGGAGAATTCCATCCAACAGCAAACAGTCGACAGACGAGCCATGAGACCTCAAAAGCTCTTCTCAGCTGAGAGTGAGGGAACACCTGGCAGCAAAGATCAAGGAGCTTTCAGTCGAAATAGAGAGAGAATTCCGACTCAACGATCGAGTTCATTAGATCGAATTCAACTTGGAGATGCGGAGAGAAAATTTCAGAACTTTTTGAAATCTGAAAAAGGTGCTCCAATTTGTGTTTGTAGTGCGGCACCCTTCTATGAAAGAGAAAGGATCAACATGGAAAAGAAAAAAGCATCATTAAGAGAAGTAAAAAAACTTTTGAATTGAATAAATGTGATTTATAAATTGGATTTATAAAAGTGATAAATTGGATTTTGAACGTGTCATCGCTTCAGGAAATGGAGTCTGTGAAACGCGAGTTGACACTTCAAAGACAACAGAAGCAACAAATTGCTGAACACCTTGTAAACGTTCAAACAGCAGAAGAATGTGTTAAAGCAAAACAAGAAGCGTTAAAAGCAACAGAAGAAGGTTTACTTGAAGATCAAGAGAAAATTGAACGTAGGGAGATTCTCTTACGTGACGAAAGGGCTGAAGTGGAGAAGCTGAGAAGTGAGTTGTCATTGAAAGAGAAAGACCTTGAAATCGAAAGGAAACGATATAAAAGAGAATTAAACAAGTGCGAACTGAAAGTGAGAAATGTTAATTGATCAAAATTACTCAATGATAAAGTCTATTGATAATGATGATGATAATGATGATGATGGTTCTTGTTCAAATCAAAAAGTTGCTCCGTAGGCAGAAGCTCAGAAGGAAGAAGCCGCAAGACTACAGTCCCAATTTGAGAAACTTGAGAAAAGGGAATCAGAACTGATTGTAAGAGAAATCTTGAAAAAATCAAGTTTTCGTGTTTTAACTTGTTTATTTGTTGATTAGGAGGGAGATCGGCAAATTCGAGAAGCCAGAGAAAACTTAAACATCCAGCAATCTGAGTTAGACGCGTTGAGGCTACAAATTCAGGAACGCGAAGTTGGCTTAGCGGAGTCTGAGATAGAAGTATGTATTCATGACTGTGAGAGATTAGAGTTGTTGATGAAACAAATTTGTTGATCATTCAAAGATAAAACTCGAGTTTTGATGATGATGGATAGATACATCGAATTTCAGGTGGAGGAGCGTGAAGGTAAATTAAGTCGGTGGGAAGAAGATTTGCGATTAAAAGAGAAAACTCTCGAAGAACAATCGCGACAAATAGAAGAACTCAAAATTGTCAGTCCCAATCCCGCTGGTGGAGCGTAGAGTATGAGATGCAAATCTTTCACCCATTCTTGATGTATCAAATTTGCAATCTTGAGATTTGAAAGTTTGTCATTTTTCAGGTTAGCGAGAAGCATGATCAAGCGCTGAAGAAGAAATCCGAACTTTTAGATTCCGATTTGCAGCAATTGCAGAATCAGAGACGAGCGGTAGGAAAGTATGGATTATGGAAAAGTAGACTGATGACGGAAAGTAGACTGATGACGGAAAGTAGACCGATGACGGAAAGTAGACTCACTGTCGATTATGAGAAGTAGAAATGTTATGAAGAACATCTTCTGTTTGAATTTGTTGTAGTTGGACGCTGAAAGAGAAGCGTTAACGTCTGAAATAGAGACTTGGCATGCAAAGCGTGAAGCAGAAGATTTCCAGAAAAATGAAGAATATCAGAAGTGAGTGAATGAGATTCTATAAAGTTGATTCACGATGATGACTGGGACAGAAAGGTGCGAAGTTTGGAAGAGAAGGTTGAAGAACTCGACAGGAAAACGAAAATGCTGAATAAGAAGGAAACGACGTAAGAAAGCGATTTCAAATTAATGATGAATTTCAATTATCGAATAGATTAGAAGAATTTGAAGCAGAATTGGATGAGAGAGTCTCTCGATTGCGGAACTCAGAGGTAGATTTAGAAGGGATCGCAAGAGAAGTCATCTAATTTGAATTCATCTTATTTCAACTCTATGTCTGATGTCTGTTTAGAATGAAGTGGCTGAAAAACAGGCTGATCTTACAAAAAGAGAACAACATTGGACGAGTCTTGAAGAAGAATTACGGAGTAGATCCGAGAAAATAGAAGTGGGTCGTCATCTAAGGACTTTGCCGATGATGAAGTTATGGCTAAGTAAAGTGTTGTTCAGGCTGAGCGTCAGAAAATGCTGAAAACACGAGCTGAGATTGAAAAAACAAGAGCAGAGAGCGACGCAATTCAAGGAGAACTGATTAGAGAAAGAGATCAAATGAAGCGGATGATATCGGAAGTAGAAAAACGGGTAACGAGTCAAAATAGCAACCCCGAGTCATGGAAGGAGTTTTTTTAAATGTTTTATTTGATGGTCAGGAGAGTGATGTCAACAAGAAGATCCATGAAGTCGAGAAGAAAGAAAAGAGTCTTGACCTTCGAGAGTCTGTCTTATTATCGCAGGTAAACAGCGAAGGGTTGTGTTGATGCTGAAAGATGTTTGTTGCCACAATATTCACCAAAGCAATTCGTTCGCTTGATTAGTTTAGTGAGAGGGGTTTCGTGAATATGGATCAAACGTTGAAGGCAGAGATGCAAATAAATGCATGATTTCAGGAAAAACGATCAGAATGGCATCTCTCCGTCATGCAAGATGTTGTCGAACAGAAGGAGCAGCTTGAGCTTATGAAGTGGGTGATTCAATTCGCTTAAATATGCAAGCTTCTTGTAGGCAGACGTTCGAATTTGAGAAACAAGCCTTTGCAGAAATGCGAAGTGCTTTAGAGAGTCAGTATGAGAGCAGCAGCAAAACGATGCGAGCACGAGAAGAGACTCTGTCAAGGCACGAAGTAAGGAAATGACGATAAAACAAATGGACGTATGGCGTTGGGGATGGAACAAAAAATGGGGACTAGATTCTTGATGAGGAATATGAAGCTGTATTGAGGTTTCCGTGTCCCAAATCAAAGAGATGTTTGTAGAATGGTCTTTCTCTTCGTAGATGAGTTTGAAGCAACGGGCGAGTGAACTTCAGCGACAGGAACATTTGTTGGATCATCGCATCAAAGAAGAGTCTGGAACATTCAAGCACAAGCTTTTAACTGTCGGACGACCATCAGACGTTCCTGTCGTTCGGCAAACCGAAAGACTGTTTCCAACGATGTCTTCATTTGATTCCGGACGCTTGCCGCTTCTTCAGTTAAATGATGTTGTCAGACCGAGCTCGCATCGCGCTTTGTCCGCAACTGCGCCTGCGAACAGACTGATTAAATCGGCCACCCGGGAATCCATTTTGCCGAAGTTGTCGTCCGATAGTCCTTCGGTCGATGACGCCTCAAGTCGAAGGCTACAGAGTAATCGCAGCGCACGACGACAACAGCGAGACCCTGAAGGGAAAAGGAAGAAGAAAGAGTCTCGTAAAAGATCGTCATCGCAATCCAGACGGTCGGCAGCATCGGATGGTATAAAAAGTCCCACAGCGACTTTGGGACAGAGCGAAACTGAGGATGAAATCTGTCGGGAACGTGGGCATGCGACTTTGCTTAGTCGCACAGATGAGTCGAAGGACAAAGATAATCGTAGTGACAACAAGATATCGAGTGATGATCTAAAGTTACGAATGATACCGTGTGATGCAACGAATCGAGAGCATCGACTGTCCTTGGAAGAAGATGTTGAGGAATCACTAGCAACACCGAAAGAATTCAAATCAACTCCTTTGCTGCTTCTTGAACGGATGAAGAAAAGCGTGGAGCTTCGGAATCCGAGTGGCATTGAAACGACGACAGAAGACGAACAATTAACTGGTGGATCCAGTGGGATGAAGCGAGTACCTGAAAGCTCCAGGAGTCGCGCTCGTCAGGGAAGACCTGAAAGTATAAAAGAATCATCACAAGTTGGAAACGAGTTCATAGCAGATCACGAGAATACAACTTTGCTCAGAAAACCCGAAATAGGAAAAGAAGAAGAAAATCCATCCGACATGAAAAAGGGAAACAAGGAAGAATCCCAACCAGAATTTGGGAGAAATGAATCTCAAGAATCAGAACGATTTACTGAATCTCCATTAAAATATTTCGCGTCATCGAAAGGCTTGTATTCAAATTTAATGGACAGCTGTGAGAGTGCTTTAAATAACTCCATGGGGGATGGAGCTGACAGCCCTATTCTTGATTTTTAGAAATATCTTTTTTCCAAATATTTTTGGAATTTGTTTTGTGTTTTAAAATGTTTGAGATGTGTATTGATTGTTCCTATGAGTGTTTTAATCGTTGGGAAGTCCCAAAGTGTCTTGAAATCCCAAAGTGTACTGAAGTCCCAAAGTGTATTGATTGTTCATCACTCTGTTCCGATCTTCATCAAAAAAAATAAATATGAGGAAGACTTAAACAAAAAGGTTTATCACTGGACTAAGCTTCGTCAAATCACACTGGATGGCCTTCTGTGCATCCAGGGACGCTTGAAATCTTAAGGGGGATAAAACTGGTTAAAACGTTACTTTTAGCATTACTGTTGGGGCTAGACTCATTTGGGACATTCCCTGAGATATTTGGGACATCCCCTGAGATATTTGGGACATTCCCTGAGATATTTGGGACATTCCCTGAGATATTTGGGACATTCCCTGAGATATTAGGGACATGGGTGGCGATATTTGGGACATTCGCTGAGACATTTGGGAGATCGATTAATGGGACAACATTGCTACTTGTGGTGCCATCAGGAGCGATTGGCGGTCTGTAGCGAATCGTTTCTTCCATTCCATGGGGCGACCCCATTGTAACTGAACTGTTCGCAGGACTTCGACTCAAATGAAGCGCTTGAGTCGATCTCGTTTTCGCTGCGAGCAATGCTTGAGCAAGTTGAGTTGTTTCCGATGGGGAGACTCGACGTCTCAGTAAGGACTCAAGAAGTCCAGGATCAATCTCGCTTCGTAATGGTGCTACAGACGGCTGACGCGTCGTTGCTGCTTGGAGGGCGGCCTGTTGCTGTGCCTGGAATTGCTGGGAATGCGCTTGGCGTTGTTGCTGTAATAGCGCAAGGAATTTCTGGGTGGAATCTGGTTGGGGGTCGGGCGCAGGGCGTGGAGGTGGATGTAACTGGTGTTGTAACTGGTGTTGTGGCTGATGTTGCGTCTGATATTGTAACTGGTGTTGTGGCTGATGTTGTGGCTGATGTTGTGCTTGATGTTGTGCTTGATGTTGTGGCTGATGTTGTGGCTGATGTTGTGCTTGATGTTGTGGCTGATGTTGTGGCTGATGTTGTGGCTGATGTTGTGCTTGATGTTGTGGCTGATGTTGCGTCTGGGGTTGTGGCTGGGGTTGTTGGGAATGGTGTTGGGATTGCTGTAAGACGCGAGACCTTAAAAAATTCTGGAAACTCTCCACCAATCCATTTCGCTCCAACGCGGTTCCAACCGGCGTGGCTTGACTTTTGACTGAAGGGGGTAAATTCGAATTCCTCAAACGCTCAACAAGTCGTTGTGCAGTAAGTTGCGACGTTTCTTGGTCGGACTGGGTGGTTTGCTCTCGTCCAGCAAGGGCATAGCGAACGGCAAGGGCATGAATCAAGTCACTCGTTCCTTCAGGCAACCGTTGTCCATTTTGACGCGCAGCAAGCGCGGCTGAAAGTAACTTTGCTATCTGTTGGTGTGTTTGTTGTTGTCGAATAGGGGGAGCCTCGTGGGTTGGCGTCATTCTTTGACGATCCAAGTTATAGGGCTGCCGGAGAGCAGAATCAGCCTGTAGATAGGAAACGTATGGATAAAACGTCGATGGGATCCTTACATTTGGGACAGACGGGACAAGATCAGGACTGTCTAATACAATCATCGATCTCTCATTCGAGATTCCTTCTTTTCCTCCCTGAAGAATGGTACAGGGGCGCTTAGCAAGAGGAGGTTGAACGCTCGAGCTTCGAGGTCCCAAAATGTCAGTCGAGGAAAGATGAAGAACAGTGGAATCATTCAAAGGTGCAGGACGTTTACGAGATTGTTGACCTGCTGAAAACAAAATCGCCAAATAAGAATCCTGTTATAAATGTTTAATCTCTATCAACTCACATCTTTGCTGACGAGCCCGTCTCGACTGCCCGCCTTCGCTCGCTTCGGACAAATTCACGTCCTCTTCTGGAACACGTAAATGAACGTTCCGTGGTCCAGGAGTGGGATTGAACGAGGCGTATCGTGTTTGCATTTTCGTTGGCGCTACAGTGTTCGCTTGATGATACGTGGGAATGGGTCTCGCCTTTCTGCTTCGTGAAGTACCACGATCTTGGGTGAATGCTTCGTCTTCAACAGGTTGCCGTCTTGAACTTGATGCTGGAGCTCGTCGTCTTGATGATTTCGCCGTTGGAATGTCGATTGATGGATCGAGTAAACTCCCACCAGCAAATTTCGTTGATTTTTGTTGTTGATTGTGTGCCTTCCATGAGCTTAGTATGGATCTATAGAGCTTCGCTTCGTGGCCAAGCTTCTTGCGAAGATACAAATCAGCCAATCGTCGCGCATCAGGATCTTTGTCTCCAACAGCCTGTAAAGCAGCTAATCGTCTTCCAAATGTTTTAGAAAGTTTTGACAAATTCGAATCCAATGATCTGATAATTGCATCAGGGGGGACTCCATAAGAAGATCCGATTCGCCCAAGATGACGTATTAAGGTGGAAGAGTCCGGAGGCGTGCGTCGTCGATACATTCCTATAAAAAGATAAATAAAATGATAAATAAGAAGACAAAAAGATAAAAAGATAAATGATTCCGCAATTCCCATTACTATGCAACATCTATCGAATTCGTTTAACTCACCCGGTGCTATTTCTTGGGTTCCTTCCCCTTCATTCAACGACTCTTTTGTCTTTTCGTTAGCTTCTTCATCAAGCTCATTGAGAGATAATCGCCACTGGGAGAGCAAAGTGTCGCTTGGGTACATGATTAATCGCGACTCAGGCGCCTCTTTCGCTGAAATTATAGGAGTTGATTCGGGAGGCAAGTTTTTCAAATCAAGTTGAGAAGATTCAACCTCCCTTCGAATGCAACAAGCTTCGTTGGCGATTTCTTGCAGTTGAGTATTCTCCATTCTATTGAACGCATCATCGAATACTTGGATTCCAAGTTGCTCGTTTGCTTTTCTTGAAATCGATTGGATTCTGGCTTCCGAGTTTCGTTCCTTATTTTTATAATCAACACAATCAGACACGAAATCCAGCAGCTGAGTCACTGTCGCTTCGTCAATCTCCTTCAATGGATCTTGCGTCACCTTGTCACGTTCTGAATCATCTTGAGAAATCAATCCAGCCATCTTTGCCAGAATCACAACAAGATCTGCACGGTCCTTCGCAACCTTTGTTTTTAGAAAAGGCAGACAGACTGACTCCCACATTGATTTTTGACCACTTGAGATAGCTCCACAAGAATCGCAGGGTTCGTGTAACAACTTCAGTTCTCTGAAAAAGATCTCCGCCACATTATCAGATAAATGCGTGAGACTTTCAGGTGTCGGATGAACCACATGATGATAGAGCTCGGCAGGGAATTCAACGTTTTCAAGCTGAGACCAAAATTTTGCTTCGTGACTTCGAAGAATCTCGTGAGCTCTTCGTCTTCTTGAATCGCGATTGAAATTTCTGATATGCTGCGGTCGAGTGAGCGCTGAGATTGCTGAACATGGAGAAATAAAGATGAATATGTAATCTACAAGAAATTTGGGAAACTCGAT